TCAGTCTGTGTACCTTCATCTCTTTCAGTCTGTGTACCTTCATCTCTTTCAGTCTGTGTACCTTCATCTCTGACTGTCAGTCTTCCTATCTCACTGTTACTTGTCGATTTGCTGCAGATGTTCTCTCCCTTAGGAACTTTTCCTTTGTCATTCGCTGCCTGATGCTTTCCCTGATGACATTCTTCACTGGCTACTTCTATTGCTCCTCCTATATAGCCACCCACTATGCTGCCCAACTCCTTTCCCTCTGCTGTGCTGCACTGTGCTGTTACATAAAGAAGAATGATATTAAACAGCACTATATCAATTTTATTGTGAAGAGAAATCCCCACAATACGACACAGTTATGTCTAAAATAGTTTTGTGTAAAAACTGGATCTTGAAACGTCCACTTTAATTACACAGTCCTGGTGTGCAAAGGCAAAATTACGAAAAAAAATTTCACTTTAAACATTTTTGGACATTGTTTAGTTATATTGTGACTTACTCTCACAGAAGTACAGATGCCACAAACAGACTTTGAACAACGCATGTGTTTGTATGCACCCATTTCTGGCACTGCACCTGTGAATTAAAAAAAAAAAAGAAGAAGAAGAATAAACAACAAAAAACAAATGAACAAAGTCCATTAAATAAAACAATCTATATGGCTAAGGACATGTCATAGTGTACCCGGTCTTTGGCTGCAATCACACACCAGCACTGACTGCACTTCCTAGTTCGATCTGCCAAAATATAATTTGTTTAAGTACAAGTTACATTTTCCAATGTTAGAGAAAAAGAAGGCAGCTAATTTTATCTTCACCTATTGAGGAAAAAAGTAGCGGCAAAGTCGGGACCTGAGCTTTGTGATTTCAGTGTTGTACTCCCCACTTGTGTTTTACCGTCAATGAGAGATTGGGCAAACTAATAATTGACGAAGAAGAAAAAAAAAAAAAAGAACAAAAAGAATTAGATTAACAAAGAAATGTTTGTTTGTTTTTAACCCCCCCACCCCCCGAGAAAAAAAAAAACCAGAGCAACCAAAGCAAAGCATACTGCTGAAATGGTTCAATCTACAAAAAAATTGAGATTTTACCATCCTGCCTCTAAGGCTTTAAAAACTGAATAGGCAAAAATGTAAACATTACTTATATAGGTTAAAGCTATAGTTTTCAGTACCATGACGACATGCACTCCACATGAGTTCCCATCCTGTTGATGTGGGTGGCTCACATGTGACAAGGTCCACTCTCCAGCGCAGCCTCTTGCTGAAGCAAATGAGCTGAGAGATCGCAGTTATTACAAATAAAAAGCATATAGAGAAATCAATAACCACGTTCGGTAATGATTTCAATTAAATTAAATATGTTATGTTAAATATGTTAATTATTTACCTCCAGTTTTTCAACACCGCACTTTTTCTGACCTCCGACTCGCCAAATGAATTCATATAGACTATGGTCCTCTTGGGTATGTCACAAAACTGTTTTGTAAAAAGATGGATATGGTAGGCTTGGGCTTGAGCTTTCCTAATGAGGGACACTGAAAAGTATCATGCACTAGAGAGAGTGCAAAATCTGTGCAACTTACAAACAAGGTCCAGTGGCTGCCGTTTTCCAGACAGGCTCCAATCAATTTCTCATACATCTGAAAGATGTTTTTCTGGAAATAAAATAATGTGACAAGTATGTTTTCTGTCAAGAATGACACTGCAAAACTGCAAAAGCTTGTCAGGTGAGACTTGTAATTAATTCTGCAGATACACAAACATATAGAAAGTGTCATTTTTGGTTTACATTAATTAATTTCTATAGTGCGTACAAACAAATCAAGACCACAGACTCAACACGCACCACTCAGTTTTTGGTGTTCTTTATCAGTTGGCCAAGACAGAAATGTTTTAATCTGTGTGCATTGCTTTTGAACAAGTCTTTACACAGAAAAGGTTTCAGAAAGGTGTTTTTCAGGTTCTTCTGACAAGGCTTCAATTTTGGAAAATGCTGTTTGTTTATAGTGGCAACTTATAAACCCTTTGTGATAAGAACATAGTTACCACAGTCCAAGTCATACCTTCAAAAAGTATGCACTTTGTGCTCTTGTGGACCCATCCAAAATTTTTCCAGTGATTTGGCTTGGTATTGGATAAATGTGAGGGAAATTCTATAAAAATAACATAAATACACCTATGTTTTCAAATACATTACAAAAAACGTAAACATGCTATGTCATTATGATCAAACAAGCTTTTCAACATACCTCACACTGCAAATTAGATTAGGCCATCTATTACCTTATAAAACAAATAAATAAATACATATAAATAAAAACAGAACTAAGGAATACGATTCATTAAGTAAATTGTACAATAAAGTGTATTTAAAGCAGAATTTAACATTAGTTTTATGACAACATAAAAGGATTTTTATGTCAAGAGGTACCTCATCTGAAATGTTAGTCTGGTCAAACAGGGATTTCAAACTTGAAATACCAATAGAGTTTGGTCCAGCTACTCCCACAAGGTAATCTGTGAGAAAGCATATGCTGTAGTCAACAGATATCATTTTCTTTTTGCATGCTGCAACCATCATCCATTTCAGTCTTCTAGGAGCTTTGTCTGGTTGTAGTTCTTTTTTCTCCTCCTCATCTATTAATTAAATTGTTTTCTGACCTTCCTAACTGTTTCCGACCTGTCTTCCCAATGTGATGTTTAAGCAATATATGTATGGTCAGAAGGGGGTGAAATTTTCATTGCAGTTGTACGTGTAACATTGCATGTGATAATAAAAGGCTTGATTGGTTCAACATGAGTTGACATTTACCTGACATTGTGAAGGAGTCACAGTTTCTGTAAGGGTGTAAGAACATAACATGTGGATTTGTTACACTTCTTTTTCACAAGTTAATAACAATCAATAATTTTCATTCCATTATTTACAAGCTATCACACAATGTCCCAGGGACAACATCTACACGATGTCCCAGGGACAACATCTACGCGATGTCCCTGGGACAACATTTACACGATGTCCCAGGGACAACATCTACACGATGTCCCAGGGACAACATCTACACGATGTCCCAGGGACAACAATTACACGATGTCCCAGGGACAACAATTACACGATGTCCCAGGGACAACATTTACACGATGTCCCAGGGACAACATCTACACGATGTCCCAGGGACAACAATTACACGATGTCCCAGGGACAACATTTACACGATGTCCCAGGGACAACATCTACACGATGTCCCAGGGCAAATTCTACATGATGTCCCAGGGACAACATTTACACAATGTCCCAGGGACAACATTTACGCGATGTCCCTGGGACAACATTTACGCGATGTCCCTGGGACAAATTTGTAAATTTCTGGATTACTGTTAATCTCCATAGAATCAAGAACTCATGTCCAGTTTCACAGCTATGGACCAGTTAATTATGTTTCCAGGTGATAGTTTGATTCATAGATTCAGCACACAACCATAAGTCTAGGCCTTTTAGTCCAGATTCTCTTCACTTATGTTTGTAAAATGATCAGGGAAGCTACTGCAATTTTGCCTGACCCAACCCCCGGGCCACGAAACACCCAAAAAGTTGGGGAACGCTGGTCTAGAGAACACTGGTTAGCTAATGTTGTCGTCAAGTAGCCTATTGCTAGCAAACAAACAGCAAGCCAAGTGAGGAACATATGTATAATGCTTACCGTTTATTAAAGGAAAGTATCCTAAATTGACTTCAAATTCGGCGGACAGGCGAATTGACTTCAAATTCGGCGGACAGGCGGCAGTTTTTCGCTTCTTCACTTGTATTTCGAAATAATCGAAGGCGGGTATTTCGAAGTCGCAAAGGAATGACGTCACAAGAAGGTGATTGGTCACTTGCAATGTTGAACCTGGAACAACATTAATTATGATGATGTGGGAACAATGCTGACACGAGGAAATCAGATCGTCCGTCGCATTCCTGGGGTACATAATCGACCAAGGAAACCTCCGCCGGACCCTGTGAAGGTAAAAGCCGTTGTTGAGTGGCCGGAACCTCCTAATAGGCACCAACTGCAACGTTTCCTTGGGTTTGCCAACTTTTACCAGCGGTTCATTCGGGACTTCAGCCGAGTTGCCTTGCCGCTGACCCAGCTAACCTCTCCCAAGCTTCCTTTTCAGTTGAACAAAGAAGCTCAGGTAGCTTTCCAAGAACTGAAGAAACGATTCGCCTCAGCCCCCATCCTGATCCAACCCGACCTCACGCAGCCATTTGTGGTCGAGGTCGACGCGTCCGACTCAGGGGTTGGAGCGGTTCTGTCGCAACGGAAGGACGGTAAGCTCCACCCTTGTGCCTTCTTCTCCCGCCGTCTGTCCCCTGCAGAGAGAAACTATGATGTCGGGGATCGGGAACTGCTGGCGATAAAACTAGCCCTGGAGGAGTGGCGGCACTGGTTGGAGGGCACGGCTCAGCCTTTCCTCGTCTGGACAGACCACAAGAACCTGGCATACCTGCAATCAGCTAAGAGGCTCAACGCCCGACAGGCCAGGTGGGCCCTATTTTTCACCTGTTTCCACTTCTCCATCTCTTACAGACCCGGTTCCCGGAATGTCAAACCCGACGCCCTGTCCCGTCAGTTCTCAGTCTCGGAGGACCCCACTGAGCCCGCTCCCGTTCTCCCCGCCACCTGTGTCGTGGGCGCCATCTCCTGGGGGATCGAAGCAGCCATTCGGGAGGCTCAGGTGTCGGAACCGGATCCGGGAGGTGGGCCAGCCCAACGGCTCTACGTCCCTCAATCAGTACGTTCTCAAGTACTTCAATGGGCCCACACTGCCCGCTTTACGTGCCACCCAGGGGTCCACCGCACTATCAACTTCCTCCAGCGCTACTTCTGGTGGCCCTCTCTGCTTAGGACGCTCGGGAGTACGTCTCCGCCTGCGCGACCTGTGCCCGGAATAAACCGTCTCATCAGCCGCCCGCTGGACAGCTCAATCCCCTGCCGACTCCGTCCAGGCCGTGGTCCCATATAGCTTTGGACTTTGTGACCGGACTGCCGCCATCAGCAGGCAACACTGTCATACTCACCATCGTAGACCGTTTTTCTAAAGCTGCCCACTTCATAGCTCTACCCAAGCTTCCCACGGCCATGGAGACCGCACGACTGCTTACCCGTCATGTGTTTCGTTTGCATGGGATCCCGGAAGACATTGTGTCTGACAGAGGCCCCCAGTTCACGTCTGGCGTCTGGAAGGAATTCTGCTCCTCATTAGGAGCAAAGGTCAGTCTGACCTCCGGTTACCATCCCCAAAGCAACGGTCAGTGTGAGCGAGCTAACCAAGAGCTCGAGGCAATGTTGCGGTGCATAGCGTCCTCCAACCAGTCCATCTGGAGTGACGAACTACCCTGGATTGAGTACGCCCATAACAGTCTGACTTCCTCCGCCACTGGTCTGTCTCCCTTCGAGGTCTCACTGGGTTTCCAGCCACCTCTCTTCCCCTCTGTCGAGGGTGAGCATTCTGTACCATCTGTCCAGGCCCATCTACGTAGGTGCCGACGAGCTTGGCGGGCCGCACGGACGGCGTTGCTGTGCACAAAGGACCGAACCAAACAGACCGCAGATCGCCGCCGCACACCAGCTCCAGCATACAGCGTGGGACAAAAGGTATGGCTGTCCACACGCTTTGTTCCTCTCAGGACTGAGTCCAAGAAGCACAACCCAAACTTCATTGGTCCGTTTGAGGTTTCGGCGCTGATCAACCCCGTCTCTGTGAAACTCCGGCTGCCGCGCAACATGAGGATTCACAATGTGTTCCACGTCTCCCAAATCAAACCTGTCCGGAATAGCACCTCCTTCCAGGCCCCCTCCACCCGCCCGGCTTGTGGACGGCTTGCCCGCCTATTCCATCACGCGGATTATGGACTCTCACCGCCGCGGGCGTGGCTTCCAGTACCTTGTGGACTGGGAGGGCTATGGCATTGAGGAGCGGTCCTGGGTTCCGCGGGCCGCTGTCCTGGACAAGCGTATGCTGCGGGCCTTCCATCTGTCTCATCCTGGTAAGCCTGGTGGGTCGCCGGGGGGCTCCCGTTGAGGGGGGGGGGGGTACTGTCATGGTCCCTGTGCCCCGCTGGTCAATCCTCTATGGGGCAATATGTTTGTGGTTTGTTTGCTCTCTCGCCCTCTCTCTCTCACTCTCTCTCTCTCGCCACGGCGATGCTCACTGCGGGCTCCCGCTGCTGGCCCACACACCTGCTCATCACCACACCGGCCGCTGATCCCAGCTGATTACTGCACTACTTAGATGGCGAGTCTGCACTAGTCTTCGCTGGATCGTTGAGCTATCAGTGTCAGTTAGACTTGTGTTTCTGCTAACCTGTACCTTGAGAATTTCTTATAATTATCCTGCTAACCCGACGTTTTGTGTGTAGATCGTTTTTGGAACCCGATGCGGAGAGGAGTGATTGAGGGGGAACGTTTTTGTACAGAAAGTGTGGAACACCCTTCTCCCAACCCTGTTTCCCACGGACCCTGGCGACCCGGACCCGTTTCCCCTGCACGTTGTATATAGCCACTTGGTGTATGTGTTCACTGTAAATAAACGCACTGTCCTTCGCTTAAAGGAAAACCCTGGCCTGCGCCTGAGTCTCTTTCGGAAACCTTATCAGCTATCCCTTCGGCGCCAGCTGCGGGCTCAAGGCTGGAGCCGAACAAAAACTCCCTGATAACGACTGTGTTTAGACTGTTCTTCCCACTCCATGCAGGCTACCTGGGTTGGCTGAAAGACTGTTTACTTAGCCTGGCAGGGCGAAGGACACTGTCTCAGCTGAACTCTGGAAACGCACACACTTACACTGATAAGCACTCACTCGTCCCCCACCCCCCCTTTCCAAACGCCTTCGATGCTTGTTCCCTCCTGGAGAACACGGCGGGTCTGGGCCTGCGCTGGAGAGACGGCGCAGTGGCAGGATGGCTGCTATGTTTGCTTAGGATTACTCCTCATCCCCTACCCAACCCTGTTGGTTGTCACGTGCTCCATAATGTTGTGCTGTGGACATTTATGTGCTTTCTGTGCAGAGGAGTTTTTTTGTTTCCTGTTCTCATACCATAGGAGCCCAGCATGAGTAGAGGTGTCTTTTTTCCCTCTTGTACTTTCCCATTGTAGTGTACATTTCAGTGGTTTTCTGTAATGTTACCAATTTTGCAAAGAAAAGCATCTGGATTTCTTTAAGTTACTTGAAGACGTTTCACCTCTCATCCGAGAAGCTTCTTCAGTTCTAAGGTCAAATGGTGGGGAGTCCCAGATTTAAACCTAGTGGGAGTGTCCTCCCACAGAGGGACAGAAGGACCCCCTGATGATCCTCTAATCGCCTGAGCCAAGGTGTGAAACTGGGTGTGGGTCCCAATCAGCCAGAGTTTCAGGTGAGCTCATTGTGAAACCTGGCCCCACCTTATCATGGCCCAGGATGTGAGTGGGCGTTAATGATGGATAAGGATACTGCAGGATTACCTTTCACACCTGCTGAATCAAGTGTCAAGAATGCAGTTTGGCACAGCCTGTAATAATAATGAGTTAACACACATTTTCACAATCACACATCAGCCCTGCAGCGGTTTGTGTTGAACAACAGTTTGTAGGAACTGTCGTTGAGATGCCAACCATTGACAGACATGTCCAACTTGATCTTCAAGTTCACTCTTGAGTGAACTTGAGGATCAAGAACTTGAGGAGTAAGAAATGGCCCCTATTACAATAGCACCTTTTTGTTGAGTGTCCTCAGACTAAACTCCACTGCAGAGGTGAAAGAATTAAATTGAGGCTTTTGCTAATGATGTAACCACACAACTTCTGTGGTGATCAAATGAACATAAAGTCTGACTTTAAGTAGGAATGAGTCCTTTTGATTAAGACATGTAGACCTGTTTTAGCATAACTCTGTTCCTGGGGGAAGGTGGTATATCATGCTAATGAAAGATGTCATTATGTCTGTGAATGAACCTAAAAATTGAATGAAACCACAATATTTTTTAACAGTCAACAGCTTTATTCGCCACATGCAGGTTGCCCTGCAGTGGAATGGACCCGCCCCCCCCCAACCTTACACACACAACACAGTGAGTGCTTATCAGTGTATGTGTGTGCGTTTCCAGAGTTCAGCTGAGATAGTGTCCTTCGCCCAGGCTAAGTAAACAGTCTTCCAGCCAACCCAGGTAGCCTGCATGGAGTGGGAAGAACAGTCTAAACACAGTCGTTATCAGGGAGTTTTTGTTCGGCTCCAGCCTTGAGCCCGCAGCTGGCGCCGAAGGGATAGCATTATGATGGTGGTTTTCTTTAGTGTGAACAACTCATGAGAATTTCAAAGCTGTTCTTAACACTCCGACACTGGTCTCTCCGTCTCCCGTTGAAGAGCCGCGAGCTTCTCCATGATGTTATCAAACTTGCGCTCCGTGATGTTGTCATTCTTGTGCTCAAAGAGCAGATTCTGAGAACTCATGACCGCAGTGAGTCACTCCAGGATGTGATCCAGTTTGCGCTCAGAGGTCTTATTCTGAGTGTTCACGGCAGCCGTAAGCTTCTCCAAGATCTTATCCATGCTGCACTCAGTGAGCCCATTCTGAGAAGTCACGCCTCGTCCCATCGTTTCAATCCCAGCAGGCAGCCTTGTGGGGGTTTGAACAGCCGGTTCCGCTTTCTTAATTCATCGATAAGCCAGGGCCAACCCAGCCCTGATCAGCAAGAACCCTGTTATCATGGTTCCGAATAGGTAGATATCTTCAGTGTCTTCGATCGACAGTCCCG